ATCTTTTCAGCTTTGTTTGTTTTGGGGTGAAATAATAAGGATGCAGGTTTGAACGTGCTAAAGATTAGAAAGGAAGAGCGCCTGAACTTGTATTGGCAAGGTGTGCAAACAGCAGCAGTGGTGGTACGGGGATGTAAACTTCTGTGTTTGACGAGACTTTTTAAAGAACGGTGGATATTCAGAGGCCTGAGGGAAATGGGCCACTGGGTCTTGTCAGATTTGCAAACCAGGGAAGCAGGAAGTCATGGAAGACTAATTTAAAGCTGGTACTAAAAAAATATATATCTTATTTCTTCTTTTGTTTCCTACACTTAATAAATATAACAAGTTAAATGGTAGATTTTCTTCTTTAAAAAAATAAAGCACTGCTTGAAGTGGTTAAAGAAGCTACACATCCCAACGCTGCTGTCCAAAGTTAGACTCCAGTCTTTGGTTCCTTTTTTGTTTTACCTCCTTTTTTTCTGTCAGTTTGCTGTCGTAAAAAAGCCACTGGTGCCAAAAAAATTATTTGAAACCCCCACAAAACATTTGATGCGCTGCGTTAGTGGAGAGGCCTCGTCTTTGATGCAGCAGTCAGCGGTTTGAGTAAAAAGCTCAATGATCTTTCCACTTTTCTCACAACTCACTTTGCTGTCTCGCAAATAAAGGCCATCAGAGCTAATAAAACTATAAAAACACAGAGAAGTTTTCCCTCTGAATTTGTCTTTTTAAATATGCTTACAAGAAGTTGAAGACAGATTGCCAAAATAAGAACTACAATAACAATCTCATGAAATCAGCAAACTTTAATAAATGAATAAACACGCAGCATCCAGCTGAGTAAACCGCATAAAAAAATATATCATTTACAGATCTTAAAACCCAAACGACTGACGATCGTCTATTTTTTTTAAAGCATCGACAGATTAGAAATCGCGTCTCTCCTTCTCCGTGCAGCTTGGACATTTGTTAGACCTCATGGCATAAGCCGAGGTCGTACGTTTCCCCAGAACTGTAGTTATTACCAGGAGAATGTGGAGAACCACAAGAACGCTCTGATTACAATTTGTAGTCATATCTCAATTTGTCAGTCCACTTAAAGAGAAATTCCAAAGTGAAAATGACATGAAAGACATGAATTTCACCAAACATGGCTGTGGTTGAGTAAATATAATTTGCACGCTGACAGATTATTTCTGTTGCACAAGTTATTAATGATCCGGCGGGTTCAGAAATCTCAATCAGGGGGTTTAGCATACATCCCACGGATGTACACTGTACAAATAATTTTGAACCGTACGTGATGTATTATTCTTATTATTTCATTTCAGCCCCAGGCGTCTTCTGGGAGCAGAAGGTGCAACTGATTAATGTTTCTCCTGACTCTGTGAACATGTGTTTTAGCGATCCTCCTTGGGCAGCGGCTGCATGCAGTAAACTGGACTGTTTGTCCGACTAGCGTTGGATTATGATGGACGAGGGAAGTGTGGGTGTCATTAGGCTACTACAAGAACTTTAAATATACACTGGAAAGTCACTGATAAAGAAAAAAAGAAACACAATCCTCATCTATACATTCAGCTGATGCTCAGCTTTTAGTTTTATGAAAGTATCACGAGTACGTTGGCGAACGTGTGCAAAAACGGCTTGTTTGCGCCGTGAAAGGTGAAATTGTAACGGTTAATTTTCATCCTGAACTGAATTTGTACGTGAGAGTCTGAGAGAAATCACACCAAGAAAATACATAAAACAGCCTTTTTCCTGTTTAGCGAAATGAAGTCAAAGGTGATTTGATTTTTTTTTTAACTGTTTTTAGCGACTTTATGTGTTTATCATGTTAACTTTATCACATTAGAAGCTCTCTTAAGGCCCAAAATGCTTTGGAAATAGCGTATATCTCACCAAGACAAATTCTTACTTTTTTTTTTTTCCTAAAAAGTACTTTATGTGAAATATATGACAGTCTTCCTACCCCCTGTTTCATGACAGCAAATGACTGAATGTTCGTATTTTTTATTTCTTGCTGGCAGGCGGTAAGCAGACAGAGTTCAGCAAAGGGGATTAGAGCTGCTATCAGGCAGACGGGGCCAGGAGGGTCCACAGGAAATGATCACGGCCTCATGCAGGCAGGTTAGGGGCCAGAGTCACCAGACCAGCTGCTGCAACCAGGAGAACAAGAGGAGAAACGCTGAGAAGAGAAATAACATAAACGTTTAAGAAGTCACAAAAGGAAAACCTTGACACAGTGGGAGAGGAAAAGTTGGTTTAAAGAAGGAAGGAACTATGGTAAATACTGGAATCCTTTTCAAGCACATGACATACATCTACTGGGGAGCCTAATGTTGAGGTTTGACCCCTTGATTTATTAAGTTTCCTTGTTCTGGAGGTTTCTTGGGGTCAGGCAGAGGGTAGTGGTTCATAAGTGCTGATAAATCTCTCCGGTTTGGCTGCTCACACACATTGCTCAGGCATGTGGAGACAGAGGAAGTAAACCAGTTTGATTCCTCGGCACATCACTCCCCGTGCAGCCGAGGTGTTTTCTGACTCACTGAGCTTTCATGAGCAGCGGCCAGCGCCCAGAGGACGGGAACCGCTTCCTGCAGGAGGAATCGGGCTCAGTGTTGGACCGTCGTGTGCAAAGTGTTTCCACCCCTTCAGCTTTTGACCACACACCAACCAGAAACGCTGACTATCTATTTAATGACAAAACACAAATGGTGCTCTGATTTGATGACGCCAAACCTATGGCAGGAAGCTAACACAATCCCCACCATCATACATGGTAGTGGTAGCATGGTAGTGGTAGCATACTATGGGAATGTGTTTCTTTACAGGGAAGCATACACCAATAGCTTCAGTGGAATGGTTTGGACCAATGCATACAAATTTCTTAATACAGGTTTAATCTAAATATTAATTGTAATTAAAGTTTTTAGTGATTGACTATTCTTTCACGTTTGGTTTAAATGTTGTCTCATTAAGTAATCAAATTAATTTACTTTAATGTTCTACAAAAATGATGCAGAATGTAAAGATCCAGTTGTACAAAGATAACTAAGAGGTTTATTTTAAGCGAGGGGGCGGAGCCTATTCAAACTTAGCCTTGCAAGTTCATCCATAGCTCTGAGTTTTTCAGTTTTCAAGAAATTCCTTTGAGCACAACATATATACATATACATAAATAATAAAAATATAAAACTGATACCGGGTCACAACACATGATGTGTCATTGACGTGTGTCATCAGTCAAAATTTAACAGTTTTGTGATTCAACGTTAATTACTAAATTACCAAAGGGAGAACTAATGTTTATGATTAGATCTTTAGGGTCCCTCAATGGTTACTATATAAACTAAATATTATAAGTAGCTTTAAATAATGTTATACTGGTAATTTGCTTAATGTGGTTATGTTAGTTTACCTTAAAATAGTACTATTATATGAAGAAATTTCTGCAAGCTAAACCGTTTTTGGTAAAGACTGATAAATGTGTTTGCTACAAAGTTACCACAGCTAAACCTGCTTGGTTCCATCTATGTGTAAAAACTAGAATGGTTCGAGGCAACCTGTTCGCATGCAGTCAACAAACTCGGGTTCAGAGTGTATGGTCTAGTCAAAGTTCAAACCAAAATCTAAATTAGAATCAGTAGCTTTAAAATCATACCGTTCTGAGATACCTTCCATCAAATCTGACTGAAACTAAGCTATTTTGTAAAGAAGAGTTGGCAAAACAACTTTAGTTTAAAGCTGAAAGTAACATACCCAAAATACCCATAAGCTGAGTCAGGGGGCGACGTAGAAATGCACAGCACATTTTTTCAGATTAAAATGTGCAAATGAATTCGAAGGCCCATTTTTCTACGCTGATATGAGCAATAAAAGTGAAAACTTTTATCCCGGAAATTGAGAAGTTTGCCCTCGACCTGTTTAAATTTAACTCAGTAGGCAACACTCAGAGCAGTTTAGCACAAGCTGACTATCGTCTATCAAAACAAGAGCAGAAAATAACAAACAGAGAGGGAACCTGAGATTCCAGACATGCATGCAGGATCCCCTCAAGACGGGTCTGAATCAAAAAGCCACACAGTCACATCGTGGCCCCCCTTCAACTTCCACAAATGCGGCACATCTATCACACTGACAAGATAGTTGATAATTTCTTCCTCCACACCCTCAGGTCAACAGTTTAAGCTCGCAACTTAAAGTGTCGTTGGAAATAATTAGCCTCCTTCTTTATTCTGAGCGGTGCCACAGCTAACCGGCCTTAGCAAAGCCCCAGGTGTCGTTTGGCAGAGAGCAAAGGACAAATCTGAGAGCTATTGAGGTTGCGGCATTTTTCAGAATTAGGCGCCCGAGAAAGATTCCCCGGAACCTTCTTCCCGTAATCTATTTACCTTCGGCAACAATCTCTAACTGGCAGTTAGGAAAGAATGGCTCCCATTGCCAAGGTCTCAGACACAGATGTTTGAATCCAATTTAAAACCTGGAAGGAATGCAGACTGACAAAGCTGAAGCTGAAACGGTACAGAGGGGCGTTCAGGAACGTGTACTGTACTCACGATAACAACTCGCCCCTTTTTGTAGCCCTGTTGACGAATTCAAAGGCCGAAGAACCGGTTCCCCTTTCCTTTCGGCGTTCTAAACAATCCTCTGTTTGTCATCTCTGGATCAGCATCTGCTGTAGTTGTTTAAATGGCATCACCGCTTTGACCTCCGACCGGTTTGTAAACTTTACCAGTGTGTGTTTGACCAGACAGCTCCTCTCTGACCAGGACAGGCTCAGCAGTCTAAATACGAAGTCAACCCAATTCGGTCTGATAGACTCAAGGCGTATCTGTGAAATATCACTGGGATGACTGGTTTCGAGAGCCATGCCACAGTCCTCATCAAAGCGCTCTCAGGAACGCCAGCCAAAACAGAGCCGGGCTCACAGCTGCAGCTAGTTGGGGAGTTGGCTTGATTTAATCTGAGCTAAACATGATCTGATTTAGAGTTAATTTGGCCCTGGTGTGGCTGAAGTTTGGTACGACAGTCGAGCCGACAAGGAAAAGTGACCTTTGACGAGGTAAAGAACTTCGCAAAGGTCTTTAAAGGGATAAAAGTGCACTCCTGTCTGCAGCTGCAAACAAAAAGCAGGTACAACACTTTAGTCTCATCTCCCAGAGAAGCACTCAACGTTTAAGTGGAGCCTCCACATTAGCAGTTCACCCCTGGCCCTGCGTCCACCTGTCACGGCGGAGCAGTGATCGAAACGTGCTGGCACGAGAGCACACAGGAAATCCCTCCAACAAAACACCCGACAGGCTGGAATGTTGGCACCGTGTTGGTACACAAATCAAACGGCCTGTTCGACTCAGACTAAGCTCAGCGGCGGCCATGTGACACCAAGAGGAATGCTGGAGTGTGATGTCGGGTCGGAGGGGGTCAGCCAGACGTGTGTGTGTTTGGAGTACACAGGTGGAGAACCAACAAGTTTAGCAGAGGTTTTTAAAAGGGGGGATTTGGGGAGCAGCTGAGGCCGAGGTGCTAATTCCAAACTGTTCAGCCGGAGAGAAGTGTGAAGGTCTCAGTGTTGAGGACGCCAGCTAAATCTGAAACTCGGTGTCCTTAATGTCTAGAATATTAACCAGTAAGTAATATAATATCATTTTGCATTGTTTTGTCAGAAAAATTCTGTTAAATTGTTGGTTAAAACCAGTTAAGTCAGTTATTTTGCTAGCCTAGCATGTACAGTAAAAAAGTTATAATATCTGTAACAAGACTTTTTCAATCATTTGAATCTGAATAACAAAATTCATACATTAAACAGAGTGAAGCCTAAAATTATTCATATCCCTTACAAATTTACATTTAAAGTTATTTTTTACTCAAGCAAAACATTTAATGATCTACTTTAAAATATGTATTTATCAAGAGAAAAATATTTATGGGCATTAAAGCCCTTAAATCCTTTAGCAAGCTAGCGTTGCCAAATAGCATGCTAACTAGCATTGGTGATGGACTCCAAATCTCTGAGGCTGTCCTCCTTGCCATTTCCCTAATCTTTTGCTGTCTCCACAGATTTTCTATCAGATTAAGTCAAGAATCTGTCGTAAGTGTACACTTTGTAAACTACAGTTTTTTTTCCATTAATTTTTGATGTAAGTGAATGCTAAACTAAGCTAGCGCTAGCTTGTGCTAGCTACTCAGCAAACACAACCCAGTGCTAGCTTAGGGATGCCAAATAAAATGTCTCTATGTAATTTTAAGTGAATAAACTCATTCATTATTATGAACTAAAGTCCTTAATTCAACCCCACTGATGGAGTTTGCTATAGTGAATCATTTTAACATCTTACCTTTTACTTTTTCACTTTGGCGCAGAAGAACATTGATGTTTGATCAGATATGTGTGCTGTTTTATTTCACATAATGCTTCTGTAAAGTTAAACATTAATTACTATATATTTAGAATAGTGCAATGCTGCATTATTTGTTGAGGAAAATCTTCTTTGTCATCATTATCGTTTCAAATGAAAAAAAAAAGTAACATTTTTATTCTATTGTTCTAGTTTTATTCAACAGCATTAAGAGCTGTCATCAGAAAGGATCTGCTGAAAGCCAAGTGTGTTCCTCTGGAATCTCAGATCGCGGGATGCTGAACCAGCACAGCTGTGAATTGTGTTGAGCTGCGGAGTGAAGATTGTGATGCAAATGCTTCAGGGAGCAGAGTCGTGAAGGAATGCACCGCTGTCCAATCCTCCCAGCTATGCTGTGTTTTCTGCTGCAGATCAGGGTGGAAAGGAAATGAAAGAGAAAAGAAATCTGCCATGAATCTGCAGCGGGCATGCAGCACGGAGAACCGGGGATTCTGCTGCTCTGGACACGACTGTCACTTTTAGAGCATACTTAGGTGTTAAAGAACATCCTGAAAAGCATGTCGTTTGCCCCGCTTGTGTTTATAAAAACCTCTTAGGAGAGAAATTGGAGGACGAGGTGACGTTTTACCTGCAGGGACATTCATGTCTCAGTGCTGAGCGACAGCAGCGACTGGCTCAGCGCAGAGCAAGAACAAAAACGTGTCATCCTCTGAGCCGTGCTGCAGTTTGAATTGTTTTAACTCGGGCGCAGAGATCTGTGACGATACCCCGACATGACCCATTAAAAGGAATCTCTCCCTCTCACACACACACACACACACACACACACACACACACCAAGGGCTCCTGCGCCTTTCAGTAATGCAAGACTCTGAAAAAAGGACAAATGTTTATTTCCCTTCTGGAGATCTAATGAGATCATTAGTTCCTGCCACCTCCAGCATCCTGCACACATGCACCGCTCCGTGCTTCTGCTTGGCCTCAGCTCAAAAACAAAAGATGTAAATATTAGGATTTGGCCATTAAGAACGAGTTGGAAATGTGGAAAGAGCAGCAGGGCCACGAGAGGGGGAAGAAGGACAAGTGAGGAGAACCGGGAGCTGTGGCAGAAAATCTGAGATATCCACAATTTTTTACTTCTCAGCTCTCAATAATGATGAGCTGTGGGACAAAATGTTACCTTCACCTATTCAATACTCGCATATTCAATATCCACAGTATACTTATGATTGCTATTCTCATATGCAATTGTTAAAAAAAAAAAAGTAAAATAAGCCAATAAGGAAGGTGGCAGTGTCTTTCCTCAGGAATTTGTATGAATGATTTGTATATTTCAACACTTACAGTTGCAGTAAAAAAAAAAAAAAAACAAGCTTCCATGCAGCTCACCACGTGTATCTATAGTTTTGTTACATGTCTTAACAAAATTTGGGTTACTAATAATATGAATTAATTGAAGATCTAATTAACGATTAAAGACAAATTGTGATATCAAGACTGTTAAACGCTGAAAGGAATAAAATTTTTTTTTTTTGTACATAAAGACATCAAATCACTGGTTTTGTTGAGAAGTGAAGAAATCTGTTGCAATCCTAACAGCTAATGAGATAGACAAACTTGTTTAAGATAAATATTTGGAGTTGAAAACGACTCAAACAGAAAAAGTATATATTTGTGTGATACAGTTAGAGGATGATGATGCCCTACAGGCCTTCGTTGCTGCTGAACAACTCCCTTGTTATGAAGAAAATGCTGAATAAATTTTGCAGTGAGTTGCCATTACTGTAACTTTGGCTGGATCAGGACGAATGCACAGGACTAAACTTAGCAAAATGTTGAGAGTCAATGGTAATTATTTTTTATTTTTCTCCCTCAGACATTAACATTTTCTGTTTGATGTGCTTAAATCACCTAAAGCAGCCGATTTGTCAGGATTTACTCACTTTTCCTACAAACTCACAACATCTGTTCACCACTACTAAAGAAACTCATTCTGATAATGAGCTTAACCTCACCTCGCTTTAGAAAACCCAAGCTATCCCTTTAAAAATACCCCTATAGCCACTCGATTGCATTTTGTTTTTGCTTTTTTTTTTTCTTCCTACCTTTAATGGCTACCCTGTCGTTTAATTTAGAGCATTGATCGGGACAATTACATGAGCTAATGCGGGGCAGTAAATGCCCCCGGGTTCCCCGGCTGCTCCGGTGCGTTCACACTTTCCAGCTGCTCGGTTATCATTTCATCAAGAGGTCCAAACAAGACCACACAGACTGCTGCGAAATGTTTTAGTGCAGGTTTAATGAGAGCTCTTCCAGGAGTATTTATCACTACAAGATTCTGTGACCGCACACATTAAAATGTTTATTGGTGGATGAAACAAGTTCCTCCCGCCATGATGTATGCCGAGTTGGACGGAGGGAGTCTGAGCGTTGCCTGCTCCCATCTTGGTAGCGTAGATTCAGATGCCCCGGCTGAAGGTTTTTATTGCACAGCGGGGAACCAAACCAAACGCATGAACTTTATACAAATGTGCGCATCAACATCGTGATTGCCCATTTTTCTACACCCTATATGAGGGTATTTACAAAGGGGGAAGGATGGGAATGCACCTCACTCGGAAAACTGAAAAATATTCGTGTTTTTCTCTAGTTATTTTCGCTCCATATGAGGAGATGGAAAAGTTAAACATTAGTTAAACGTAAAGAAGTAAAATATATACATATTTTTTTTAAAAAACCAAGAATTTCACAGACCGGGATCCTTCATATTACAGCTTCTTTTTCTTTCTTAGATGCATTTTAAATTTTAGCAATTTCAGCAATGTGCTTCAGAAAAGCTGTTTTTGATTTTCCCAGCATCATATAAATCACCCAAGAATCACTTAAAGCTTCCTGGTGCGTCTCAGTTTATGAACGTAATTTCACCACAATTTTTTCAGCTTTTTTTTACTGTGTCAGTTTGTTTTTGTTTTTTGTTTTTTATCTGCTTATTTGTGTTTTTCAAAATACTTTATAGTGCAGAACTTAACTGGGAAAGTTCAGATCCAAAGTCTGAAACACACAACAAACTGAGCTCTTCTCTGTTTTAACAAGTTCTAAGGTAATTTTATTTATGTAGCACATTTTTAGCAACAAGGCAATTTAAAGTGCTTTACGTGAATTAAAAGGAAATACAACCAAAATAACAAACCAAAGGAAAGAGCAAAAAAAAAAGAAGAATCTAATAATGCTGATCCAAAGTATATAAATTAGATACAAGTGGAGCTGTGCTTGATGAGCAGTCACTGTCAAATTATGCTAATAAAGGAAGAAAATTCACTGTTTCATTTTACAGACTCTTTATAAGTCTGGCTTCACGTGTGGACTTGGGCCCAGAGCCAGAACAAGAGTCTCCAAACTCCATTAGCATTTCTCTGAAATTGCGATCAATCGGCTTTTTCATTCTCCAGTTAACATCTTGTTTCATGAGTAGACAGCCATGAATGAATTAAACAGATGAGGGATATTGTTTTTTTTCCTGCATGAAAGATATTGAAGCAATAATTAAAAACCCACCTGTGATAAAGTGCTAAAAGAAAATAAATTAAATTGCTCTTACATTTTGACATATTTTAATTCTGGTTTAATTTTAGAAGTTGGATCATTAGAACTGACTCTGTTGTTGCAAAACTCAAAGAAATCCTCCCTGTTTTCATCTGTAAAGCAGGGAACAGAAAATATGTTTATGCAGGTATGAATAATTAATCATGACTGAGATTTATGAAGCAGAATGATGTCATCAGTCTAACGACGAGACAGTGTGTTTATGTGCAGAAACATTGCTGAACATTGTGACGATGACATGTTCGACCACATGACGTCCTCAGAGGCGTCCTGAAAACAACGTGGGCTGCACAGACATAACATAACGCTAAATTAAATAAGAAAATAACGTTGACAGGAGCAGCTCTCAGTTCTGGTTGGGTGTGATTTTTTCATTCTAACACCATGACAGCAAACGGTTACAAAGGAAGTCCAACATGTCTCTAATGCTTCCTCAAGGCAGACTCACGTTTCAAATAAAAGAAATTACAAATAAGCTTACGTGAAATCAATCATGAAAACCTCCTAAAAATATGTCAGAAGAAAAACCTGATTTGTTTTAAAATGAAAAACTATGTGAATTGTGCTTTAAATTCACTTTGATTAAGTTAATTTGATGATATACGTTATAATTTCTGACATTAGTAGTAGTAGTGGTAGTAAAAGAACATTTAATCCCAGTATTTCAATGCAATTTCTATTTTATTTTGTGGGTAATTGCCCTTTCAGCACTTGAAGCATTTATAGGTTCTATATGTTCTACTGAGGTAATTAAATAAATTTTTAATGCACTCTAAAAACCTTTCGTAACTCGATATCCCTCTGTTTTGATGGAAATCAGTTCAGCCTGTATGGAAACAGACGGAACCAGAACCAGAACGAAGGTTTCGGATTGACAGAACGTGTAAAATATGTCAGCGCCTTGGGTGTTTACCTGGAGCTCGAAACCTTTCAGCAGCTGCTCCACATTCAGGAGCAGCTTATCGATGCTGGCACATTGTTTCCTGCTCGATGTTCTCGGAAAGTGGAAAAAAAAAAAAAAAAAGGAGAAACCTTTATTTTTCCCACAACACAGCTCCCTTATTCAGAAAAGTCACAAATCAAGTGTGCGCTTCAAGCATGGCTAATAGCACAAAATGGCTCTGCTTGCTGCCTATCGCGCTCGAATAAAATGGAATTACCTCACCGAGGCTGAGAAATATGGAAGCAATTAAATCAAGGGGGTAATCTGGCCACTGTTCAGATGTAGCCCGATGTTAGAAACGGTCGAGAGAATGAGATAAATATACGAGCCGGGTCTATTCCTTTGCCACATCTATTGCTTGCTTGTTCTGTAAAATATGGTTCTTTGCAAATGAGAGCACAAGTTGAAAGATTTGTGAGAGCAACAGGCTGATTTGCTGTGATTAGCTTGAGAAGAAACGTCTGAATTTGAGTTCCCAGCCATTCGTTTGGACAACTTAACCGGATCGAAGGGAATTGGAATCAGCTTTTATGGCTCCCGTTGTTTACGCGCTCTAATTTAGGGAAGTCTAGTCGCAGTTTGAGCTGCCGGGCCTGGACTCGCGTCCTCGCGCTTCGGCCGGAGGTCAACAGAAAATCAGCAGCAGCCTCCCGAACGTGAGATAAAGATTGACGCTTACGTCTGCTGACCTTTTGGGCCGCGCGCGGCCTCCATGAGAACGGGGTACTCTTCGAGAAATAAACAAGAGCCACATCTGCTTTCAATATGTCAGTATATGTGACAAACAAAGAGCTTTTCCCCCGACAGCGTCCAACGTTGTCAGTTTGTTTTATAAAACTGGAAACAGAAAGAGCGCACCGGAATCGCTTCAAATGGAGACGCACTAATCAGTAAAGAAAGGGACACTCTGTTTACGGCAGATGTTTCTGTTTGCTGCTCAGAAAAGCCTGTGACTCCCTGCACAGAAATATTAAAAGTGCAATGAATTATTTTTGAAGGGATTTCAAGGAATTGGGCTAGAAAAAAATGAATCCCCAACTTGAATGTTTTTTTCTGTTTTCTCCAACCAGCTGCCTGTTTGAAAACCAATTATTCTAAAAAACTAATCATCACAGGCAATGTTTCATTTAATATTGTTCTCCTTATTCACTCCAAACAGATTATACCTAAATGACAATGATCAGCTTTGTGTGACTGCAGCCTGTTAGATTAAGACATTAACGGGAAAAATAACATATGAGAAATAAAAAAAAAAAAAAGCACAACATGGAGACTAACGATATGCCTCACACAGACTAATGGCCCGACCGCCTAGCTGATCTGTGGTCGGAAAACGGGGTCGGGCAATTGCACTTATCAGATTGTGTTGGCTGATCCCAGAGCTGCTGGATGGACGAATGTTTCTCTCTGGTCTGAAGCTCTGGGTGGCATCCAGACTGTGGCTGGTAACACGAATTCCCCAGATCAGCTTTAATGAACGCTGCGTTTTCCAGTCTTCTGCTTCTCTTGAGTGTTTAAAGAGAAAGCAAAACAGGGCCTGAACGGGCTCTTTCTGGTAAGTGGGAGATTAATTAAGGCCAAACAGAAAAGATAGAAAAAGAATAAATAAGTAGAAACATGCGTAGGCGTCAGTACTGATTGGTTAAAGGATCTGGCATAATTATACTTTCCGTGTCTACAATGAAGATGAAATTTCCAAACTTGAAGTTTGAGAAAGTAGAAAGTTCAAATTCATGCGGGTACAGTTGGAGTTTTTTTTTTCACCAACACCCGACCTCAAAGTCCAACAAGGCTCTCCTG